ACTAAATACAAGCTCCCTCACTAGATATTTTCTTTTCTTCTTGCCTTCATTGTTATTGTTTTTCTTTCAGATATTTTCCACGTCTCAAAGAGTACATAAGAGTCTGGGAATATATTCATGATAATGTATTAACTTATTAGGTTTTATCATTTCATTAATATTAGGATTTAGTTGACAATGTATATATCTTTATATAAACAAAATAAATTATATCAGAATTTTATTTTTTATATTTCAGTTTGTAGGAATGCATGAAAATCTTTAGTGTGCAAGGAATACAAAGAAACAATATGATTGGTAATTCTTGTAATAATGAGCCATTTTCTTATATTTTCATATTTATTACCCATTTCTCATAGTTCATTATCCTTGTCTGGAAGTTTAGATGGCAGTGGGTTAGACTTTTGATACTGTTTCGTCGATTTGTAAAAAATAGGTAAGCTGAAATTCTTCAGGTAGTATGAGGTTGAATAAAAGTTATTTATTTCACTATTCTGTAATTCAAGTACAAAATACAAAGCCGACAATATCACTAAATATATCACAATTTTGCAAATCTATTGTTCATTCTTACGTAATGAACACCAATTTATAATTTGATCTATTTCACAAAAGGAAAACTAATTAGCATATGATTCAATGAACTGAAAATATCAGCCACAATACTAAGGAAAACTGACAGGGAAAACATATCAACCGTCTGATGAGGTGTCTGGTCGGACTCGAAACGTCTCGAGGCTTAACGTTTTCTTTAACATTGCGGTTGTGTTTCATTTCATCTTTGTACAAACGTTGCAATTTTGTCACACCATTGGATATAACGACGTTCCTGAGTCAATCGGTTTACTCCAGGTAACACGTATTCCATTTCCGCGATGACAAGCACCAATATGTTGTGTTTATTTTATGACATAAATTAAGTAACTCAAATATGTTGTTTATTTTATGGCATAAATTAAGTAACTCAAAAACTTCCCAGTATTCCCAGTGACCAGTACAAAACAAAAGACAAAACACATGTATGTTTGCATGTATGTATATCTAAATTATACATGTACATGCGCGCGCGCGGCGGGTGTGTGTGTGTGAGATTGAGTATGTGAGTGTGAGTGTGAATCTGTGTGTGTGTGTGTGTGTGTGTGTGTGTGTGTGTGTGTGTGTGTGTGTGTGTGTGTGTGTGTGTGTGTGTGTGTGTGTGTGTGTGTGTGAGTGAGTGAGTGAGTGAGTGAGTGAGTGAGTGAGTGAGTGAGTGAGTGAGTGAGTGAGTGTGTGTGTGTGTGTGTACGTGTGTTTGTGTGAAGCCCCTGTTACAGACTTCAATTCCTTCATCAATGAACGGTATTAATCATCATAAATGTTTAGGCACTTCTGACTCTTGCAGAAAATGTAACCTTTATATCCTGTCTGTGTACTTCACAGGAAAACTGAGAATCTGCAACACTTATCTAAGATACACAGCATGGAAATCTTACACATTTGGCTCTGCAACTTCATAAAAATAATAATAACAGTGATTATTATGATTATCATTATTATAATGATAACAATAATGGTAGTGAAAAATAACAATAATAAAATAATAATGCAAACAATAGTAACATTGATAGCCACAGGCATAACATAACAATAATGAGAATAATTATTCTGATAGCACCACTGCCCAAAAATCATAATAATAATGAAACAAAGAGTAAATAGTTTGTTTGTTTTTTTTGACACTTCCTGAGCTATAAAGTGTACCAATGTTTCTTTTCTTCCTCCTAACTTCCAAATTCATCTCATTCACTCATTCTTGGTCCCTAAGTTACTTGAGTCGGGAAGAAAGCCCTGAGGAAAATGAGTAATACTGAGCGCTTGTTCCACAGTGTGTTTAACGATGGGATTTCTCTCTTGCTGGTACAACTTTGAGTGGTAACGATGAAGGTGGAAATTGGAACAAGAATAATAATGAGGGAAATTACAGTGATGATAATGATAATAATAATGATAATAACAAAGATAATAATAACAATGATAATAATAATAATGATAATAACAAAGATAATAATAACAATGATAATAATAATAATGACAACAATAATTATAATAATAAAAACAAAAAATATCATCATAAAACAAAAAAGATTGGTGAGTGAAGAAATTCAAGACTTCTACCACCACAGAATTCGGGAGGAAGGGAAGAAGGAAGAAAGGGAGAAAGGGAGTTAAAGTTAAAGTTTAGTTTGATTCCATTTGTTACAATGGATATTCTTGGTGTGACATGTTGTCTGTTTCAATTTGCTTCTAAGTTATCCCCTGTGTGCAAGGAATGGCCGGGGTTACCATCCACTGGCGGCGAGGGATTTGAACGCAGATCAGCTTCACCACCCAGCACACGAGAAAGGGAAAAAGGGAGAAAGGGAGGGGGAGGGGGAGGGAGTGGATCTTCAAGAAAGGCCGACCCAGTCTTAGTATGAGTAAGGAGGAGGCTTCTCTGTCGGAGCAAACGGAGGCGGAGGCT